TATATATATATATATATATATATATATATACATACTATAATGTATATATATATATATATATATATATATATATATATATATATATATATATATATATATATATATATATATATATATATACTATAATATATATATATATATATATATATATATATATATATATATATATATATATATATATATATATATATATATATATATATATATATATATATATATACTATAATATATATATATATATATGCATTTATATTATGTATATTTTACATAATATATTATTTTATTATATAAATTATTAAATAAACCCGCTACCGAAAAAAGTTAATTTTTAATTAAATATCCTATGCAAAAACGTTTTACATTAAAGTTATATAAAAGTATTTTGTAAACAAAAAACGGGCCAATCAGAACGTAATAAAGATATCGTAACTACGATACTGTGGGTTAAAACTCATTTTTGTTAGGTTCTATTGGCAATAATTATTTTTAATTTTCTTAAGCAAATAATGATTTCCCTATTAATAACCGATTGACGTCTTTTTGACCTCTTTTCCAAAAACGTCTTTCCACGTCTTTATTTTGGCTGATTATAAAAAGACATAACAAGTCATATATAAAAAACGCCTTTTATTTGTCTAAAGATGTCTTTTATCCCACTGGGTAAGCAATCCCAGCCATCATTGACAGACGGCTACCGTATGGTTTTTTCCTGGGCTTACAGGAACAAAATTTTGACAGGTAGATGTTTTGGTTTCCAGACGGGTCCAATATGGTTATAAAACTAAGCATATTTGCTCGTTTGGGTTTTATCTGGTTTTTATCAGTGCCGAAGAATTTGGGGATTTGACGGGTTTCCCATAAGGTTCCCAAAAGGTTTTAAACAAATGGTAACAAAACTTACTTGATGCTTGCCATTTATAATTTGTATTGTGCGTGAAACAAAATTAAAAATTTAACTTTTATGCATTATATTTTTTGTATACATTATATTTACACTGTAATTAAAGAGAATTTTTTTTTTTGATGTATTTTTTCACTGTAAAACTCTATTAAAAAGACGTTGTTTTAAAATTTCATTTATTACCAGTATAAAATAATTTTTTTATATTTCTTTTTAAAATAAATTTACAAAGTTTAGCATATTTGTTCTACGTATGTTCCAGGAGCTATTAAACATGTAGTAAATATCCCATTGAAACACTGTTTGCATTTTTAAAATGATCAAAAATAAAGTTTTGTTTCTGCTAGTGATTATAATAACTGGTATGAGTTTAATCAAAATATAGGTTTAGTCAGAAACATTTAAAAAGAGCAAACAGGCGAATGGTATGTGATGGATAGGTTATATTTAGGGAATTAAAAGCTTTGAAATTGTTTTTAGAGATCCACTTTTTTCCATTAATTTTCTATATTTTATGCAAGTAAAATGACCAGCTAGAGCATTTGTTAAGTGTATTAAGGGACACAATGGTTATAACTGATGTCAACGTTGTGTTTAGAAAGAAGAGTGGTGTGGCAAAATAATTCTCCCACATATGTCACTAATTTTAAGCGCTGATTCAGATTTTTTGTCATCAAAAGTATTCTGAACATCATAGTGGTTTGTTAAATTGAATTAAATTTTGACATGGTGACAAATTTTCCTTTGGACTTTATGCATCTAGTATGCTTAGGGGTATTCGAAGACTCATTAACTTATGGTTAAATTGCCCAAGTGTTGTAAATTGTCTCAGATTACATTCATTAATTTACCTGGCGGATTGTTTCAGATACGTCATTACATTCCAAGAAATTTTTCTAGGAAACCAAGGTCTAAATTAGATAATAAAAAATGGAAAGCAACTAAACTTAGACTTTTTTAGTATACACTGGGCCAGTTGTTTAAAGAGAATGATTTAGCCAAAAATCTATTCAAACTTTTTAGATTTTTCAGTTGCAGTTCAAATTTCATGTTTTATTTTGTTGAAAAAAAATGTTAATTTTGCTTGTCAGCTACTTATTTTGTGCAGTTTTATCGGTGAACTTTATTGTAAGGATCAACTAGTTTACAATGTCCATTCATTAGCACATATAGGAAATAATACAGTTAAATTTTAAGTACTTGATAGATGTCCTTCGTTCAAATACGAAACTTTTTCAGGTCAGTTAAAAAAGCTTGTTAAAAGACCAAAGGGTTGCTCAAATAAACACGTACAAGAAGATAAACAGAAGTTTAGTATTCCTTATTTTAATGGTAGTAATCATTGCATTGAGATACTGTTTACAGTTTAAAAATTATCAAGTTTTAGAGCGTTTTGTTTCAGCTAATGAAAGTGATAATTGTTTTGAAATTACAAAAAAAAAAAAGGTTAAGGTAAAAAGATTTTAAAAAGTAGACAAATCTTATGACAAATAGGTTATGTAGGAATTTGCAATTTTTTTAGTCGTTTTATACTTATATATGTGTGAGTGTGTGTGTGTGTATATATATATATATATATATATATATATATATATATATATATATATATATATATATATATATATATATATATATATATATATATATATATATATATATATATATATATATATATATATATATATATATATATATATATATATATATATATATATATATATATATATATATATATATATATATATATATATATATTTATTTATATATATATATATATATTTATATATATGTATATATATTTATATATATATATATATATATATATTTATACAAATATTTTACAGGTTATATATTTACAGGTTTTTTTTTTGGAATGGGAGGGGGGATTATGTCTAGTAGCCACGGCACTGTATATAAGGTATATACAGTATATATCAAATTATATACAATATAAATGTAAAATTATATTTATTTGAAAATTTTATGTAGTTAATTTATCAGTGACTAAAGGAATGTTATCAATTTATTATATGAAACATTAGCATGTGCTTATCTATTACAAGTACATTTTAAAACATTGAAATAAACGGCGATTATAAAATTAAATGTTATGTTTTTCTACCTACGATGGTAAAAATTACATTTTTTTATCTGAAGAATGTTGGTAGAAATCGTAAGAGTTTTATAATATTAAAAATAATGTATGTGTTGCGTATAAAATTTAGAACTGATAGTTAAATTTTTTTTTTTTTTTTTTACAGCTCATATTGAAACAAGATATTGTGTAAAGAGGTTTTTAAAAAGTTGTTATAACAACGATGGAAAAGCTTCCAATTCTTGAGATAACCGTGAAAGTATTCGATACATGATTAAGGAATTGTTTAAAATTTTACTTAATTTCGAAAGTGTAATTTTAATTACTATTTTTTTGAAATAAACCAATCAAGTTATATTTAAATTTTCTTTTTCTGTAAATTTTAAACATTTAAACGTAGTTTTGCAAGATTTGCAATGGGTAAACCTTATGGGACCCTCACGGGATACCCGGCGGGCATACCCATATGGGCCCCAGAGGAAAAACGCGGCTAAAATCTGGCGGTTCCCAATCGGTTTCCCATATGGATCCCATTTGCATACCCAAATGGGTCTCTTACGGTTTTAAAGTATGGGATTTGACTGGGACCTAGGCAGGCTCATCCATATGGGCCCCATATGGAAACCGCGGTCATGATCCGGTGGGATACCTTTGGTCTTCCCATACGGGACCCAGTTGACAACCCGTATGGGCCCCGTATGCCAATGTTGGCTGGGATGCTTAGTATCTACGTGAAACCGACGAATCAAAACAAAGTCCATTACCAATAATCATTACCGGTATATTTGGAAAAAAGTTATTATAAAAACTCAAGAAACTGCAATTATCTATCCAATAAACTACGCGGAAAATACTCCATAATATGTGTTGATGACTTGCTTGGTGCAGTTATTGCACGAATAACAGATAAAGATGGTTTACCATTTATTATACCTCCTAAAATTAGTCAATAACTCTTATGGTACGGTTAAAAACATCATTAACAACTTAAAAATACTTCATAATATTAGTTAATGATTTATTTGGTGCGGTTGTAACGCGAATAACATCTAAAGATAGTTTACTATTGGTTAAGTTTTTTGTATATGATAAACTAAGTATACTTTTAAGTGCTCAGTTTATAATAACATTCCAAAGAACCGTAGCCGAATAAAAAACGAAAAGCAATCAAGTGGATCTTTAAGCATCACATTAGATAAGATTAAAATTTATAGAATTTGTTGAATCGAACCTGTCTTTTATGCTGTCGGGCTTATCCCCATTAATTATAAAGTGACAAGAATACAGATAACTTTTGCTTCTTGCGATCATTTTAATAAAAAGATGAAATTTAAAAATTTTATTGATTTAGTTTCTTTATATCATTCCTTATTCTTTATTAAATGAGTTTCAATATATATATATATATATATATATATATATATATATATATATATATATATATATATATATATATATATATATATATATATATATATATATATATATATATATATATATATATATATATATATATATATATGTATGTATGTAATTTTCTACTTTAATTTTTTAAGTAGTCAAACGAAAAGTGTTTTTAATTTAACAGTTTTTGATCTTTTTTTAGATAATGTTTATACATTTACCGGTAATCCATTTTTTTTTTTTTATCAAATACTGGTAATGAAAAAACGCGGTAATTGCTAATGATAGGTTTATCGAAGCTGAGGTTTCGTGTAAGTTAATGATAAATAATAATACATTTTCTCATCGCAAAATGAAAAAATAATAAATATTAGTTTTATTAGTATTACGTAATTATATTTCTTAGGTATTTATTTTAAATTGTTTTTATACATACATTTCATACCTATATATATTGAAATTTGTTATTTTTTATCTTAACTTTTTCAATAAGGTTCTGAAAGTATCCTTTACTCCTAATTTGTGACTGCCTTTTTTCTTTCCAACGTTTTATTTATTTCAAAAGTATTACTTCCCTTTAAAAATAATTTCTCAAAAAAGTCTATAATATGATAACCGAATATAACAAAAAGATGATATAGAATCAAAGTTCTTGAACTTGTCTTGAAGTAAGAAGAAGAAAGTAGCCAAAATAAACTCTCAGTGATTAGCAAACAATAAAGTAAAACCCAAGTAATATTTAAAAACAAGAATATTATTTCTACAGTTCGATTTCGCCTTGGATTTTTAAGCTTAATATCTGGTTTGTTTTCCCAAAGTCTCGACAAAAGTAGAGCCAATAGTATTAGCAATATTACATTTAAAATTTGATTGGAAAAACAGAATCGACGTAAATCTATTACAAAAACGGTTTGTTCGCCTACCAATTTTGTTATATTGATTTGAACTTGAATCCAATCCGTATTAAACCAACCAACTTGTTTCATCTTATTCTCAATTAAACAATTCCTAAAAATATTTTTAAAGAGAAGTAATATTAACAACAAAACTATAAACAGCTAAATAAGGAAACGATTAATTTCAAATAACTTTATTTAATGTTGTCTTTGAAATACAAATTTTAATTTGTAATAAAATTGATGGTTAAACTAAAATTTAAAAAAATATTTGTTTACGTTTGTAGAATATCTGGTATGTAGAATATCTGGTATACTTTACAGAAGCTATTTGTTATAATGTGATGTGTATGCTGACAAAGGTTGTTTGTGCATAGTGTTGTCTTTTTTTAATTTTTTCTTTTAAGTACTTTAAAAGCACAAGTTTTTATAGAAAGTTATTAACTTGTTTAAAGTTATCAACTTAATTTAAAGAGCAACTAAAACGTAAATAATTGTAGTGGAATCTGATTTCGAGTAAATGGAGCGCTGTTAATCACCAATCATGTGAGTAGTTAGGGTAGAATCAGGACATCAGTAAAAAAAGTTAACAAGTATATCGGGAATGGTGCATTAAAAATTTAAAACAGTGTGTTACTAATTTAAAACTTATTACTTTTAAACATCAAATCTGAAACGAAACACAATTTTAAAACGATACGCAATTTTAAAACGATACACAATTTTAGTTTTAACATTATAAAGAGCATGACAGTAAGTAAACAATTGTTTTTTAAACCAAAAAGTAACGAAAAAACAAATAAACAAACACATTTAAAAAACAAAAACATGATTATGATAATTTATACTTAAACAAATATATTTAATTCCAAAAGCATAACTATGATAATTTATACTTGTTTATCACTTGTACATTTTAATTTAAATTTAAAAGAAAATATATAAAAGTAAAACTTAAAAAACGGTGTGTTTCAAATATAAAATATCTTTGTAAGTGATTTTACGACATCGCATAAAAATGTTCAAATACCTTGTCTTGTTTGAATGCCGCTTTATTGCACACCCTGTTAAAATCAAGTTTTATTTTTTTGCAGATGTCTTTTAGTTTACTATTGAAATATTTCATAGTGCTTATTTCAATACATACTATTTTTTTTTTTTTCAAATTAAAAAATGCACAATGGTATGATGCATGTTATTAATTAATGGTTTATTTTTTGAGTTAGTTTTTATTTTTCAAAATTTTTTATAGTACTTTTTTTTAATGTAGTTGTTAGTTTTTACTTATGACTAATTCCACGTCAATTTAAATAATTCAATTTAGGTGTGCTGACTAATGGTGTTTAGGTACTTCTATACAATTATAAAGACGAAAATCTTTTTTTTTTTTTTTTTTTTTTTTTTGTTTTGTTTTGTTTTAGTTGCTTAAAAATCAAAACTTATCAGAGAACCTTATTTTCTCAAAGAACTTTAAAAAAAAAAGGAAAATTATTAAAAGAAATCATTTCAATTTATCTTAATTTTAGTATAGATTTTTACTCATAGCAACCATGCTTTGGAATTATTATTACGCAGCCGCGGCGCACTGTTTAGATTTCTGGCTCAGAACTCAGAGGTCCTAGGTTCGATGCCGGCTCTAGCCCAATAAGCGGCATACGTAAGGGAGGAGGCGTGAACTTTCTAGTTAAATGCTTTTCCGCGGTGCTTTATAATAAGACTATGACTTCTTGGAGCACCTTAAGAACTATAAAAAATATTATAACACCTGTTTTGCAAGATTTTTTGCAAGATTTTGCAATATTTTTTGTGCAATTCATTTCCAATTTGTTTACAAGTATTCCTGAAGTACTTAGTTTTTAATTTTAGTTTGAAGTTTGACCATGTAGACTAAAATTTTGATTCTTGGAAAAAATCCCCCGGGAAAAAATCCACCCGGAAAAAATCCCCCTAAAATAATCCCCCAGCGAGCAAATGTGTTGACGGTTCGGAAAATCGTCAACAATCCTCAAAATCCGCTGATTGCAATTAATATATTGACGTCTTTGAGCTGGCGGTTGATGACCTCCTTCAGCCTGTAGAATTTGAACCCTGTTTATGGATTATTTTTTTTAAGCATATCGAGGAACTTCCTTAATGTCGAGTGAGATGCCATACAAAGTGATTAAAATCTGCAATGCCAACCTTTAATATGGTTGTTGGTTCTTGGCATTTCCTGGTGAGTTCTATGAAACATATTCCAAAAATATATTTCAAAAAGAGGTGGTGCACGCGAACCGTTTCGTCTGAATTGTCCAATGTACGTATCTTCAAAGTAGTCCAGAACAACATCAACTTCTTCATTGTTCGTTAATCTTATTGCGTTACAGAGCTCTTTAAAAAATGCAGTTACATCATCTGGAGGAACAAATGCTAACGCAGCAACTATTCGCAAACGTAGAGCCAATTCATTATCGGTTTGATATCACTCCTGTAAACCAGCCGCCTGGATATGTTTCCAAATATTAGATGATAGGTGGAAAAAGCAGCCTTTTATTTCAATGTCTTCAAAAACAGCGTAAGTGGAATCAGTACGGTAATTTCAAAGTCAAAAAGTATTGTTTGTGGAATATTTACCACCGCTCGTACTAGATTTGAAACTTCTTGAAACATTCGTGTGTAACTTTGTTGTGTTTTAATGGGCAACAAAGCGTAAATGCAGGGTACGATACGTAGGTCAATTCTTGCATGAATTGTCTACAATTGAAAAAAGATTTCGGAGCACACTTTAAAAGCGCCGTCACCAAACCAGTTATCAGATGTGGCCATCAACTGGATAGCTTGGTTTGTTGAAAATATTAATATGCGGTTAGCGTCTCCAACACCACTATCAAATTTAAGAAACTGTTCACCGTTTAATGTTTGCTGGTAATGTTCTGGTAAAATAGGAATTGTTGCTCAATCGATTGGGTCATGGGCCAGTTTTTATTACCCATTCTTTGTGAAGGGATTGTTCTTCGCAAATTTCAACAGGAGGCAAACATATAGCAGGGGTTTAGGATGCATTTCCCAACGTTTTAACCAATATTTGTTGTGGGTTATCCCGCGTATGGTAAAAACGGTCTTATTGAACTTTTTAATCGAACCTTTACACAGTTCGTGGTGGAAGGTTGGTGTGTATGGTCATTAAACTTTCCTACAATTCCATCTTTCAGACTGACTTTAATTTTTGCTTTACATTCTCCTTTTCGGCGTAATACACATTCAAACGAACGAATTTCATTTGCAAGTTCTTTTTGAAACACATACACATCCTTCGAAAATTATTTTGCGTTGTTTTTATTGTGATGAGATAAACTCCATTTTTTTTTTTTTTTTTTAAGTTTATTAAATTTATTTGGCTATATATAATAAAAGATGCCTTGTTAACATTCTCAGCCAATTTTATGACTCTAACTTATCTAGACAGAATTTCCTTGCTACAAGCTAAATTTAGAGATTTTCTATTTTGTTATTTTAGAATTTGTTAATAATATTTACTTTAATCAACAACCAATGTAATAATATATACAATGTAACAAAAAATAAGAAAGTTTTTTCCAGTTATATATTATTATTAATAATTATTGATATCATATTTAAATTAATTTAAATTAAATAACTTAAAGATTATAGACATAAATTATAAACAGAAATATATTCTTAAAATATCACTAACTTAATATAAAATATACATTAATTTTTAAATAATATCCTTAGTCGTCTCATCGCGTTACATAAAAATCGCACATTTTCATTAAGTTACAACAAATTTCTTCATAATTACTGTCATTCTGACCAACGAGCTAACACAATTCACTTTAGGTTATACATCTTGTATTTTCTTACCGGATTCAACTCACTTTGCACACTTCTTAATTTGAAATTAATCACCCTTGCACATTTTCCAATTTAAAATTAAGTACCTCGTTTGTCTTCTGTCACCGCAACCCTTTGCACTTGCGTGTGAAATCCGCTACGCCTATCCTTGTTTTAGTCAGTCGATGCAGCAACACTCCGCTGCGCCTATCCCTAACTGAATCAGTCGATGTATGGTACACTCCGCTGCCTCTATTCCTACTTGAGTCAGTCGATAAATGGACACTCCACTGCGAAAGTCCCTATATATATTTTTCTTAGTCGATAAATACACAACTCAACTGCACCTGTCTTTATTTTTAGACAGGCGAAGCGTGAATACTCCACAGCGCCTGTACCTATTTTTCATCAGTCGATGCAGGTATACTCCATTGCGCATGTTCCATCTCTTTATAAGTAGTTGTATTCCGCTGCGCTTGTCCCGTTTTATTACACATATATGTTTAGAATGATTAAAGGCTCACATTACCATTCATAGACCTTATTAATTAAATTATGTTTTGGATACGTATTTAGATTTTATCTGCTAGAGCTTATTTATTTTATAAAATATAATTATAATGTTTTTATAAACGTATAAGACCGTTTTGTTCATTTGGTTAGGTACGCCGCGGAGACCATGGTTTGCATCCCGTCACAGTTACAATTTTTCTTCTTTTTACTTTTTTCACCTTGATACCATTTACCTTTGTTTTTGTATATGGATCTCTAGTATTTTATAATAAGGCAAATAATGGTTTTACACGCATCCTTTTGGTACTCTCTAAAAGGTAAGACATACACACACACGTATATACTCATTAAGGTTACGTCATATCACGTCACTTGCATAATGGTTACACAACCTCTCTTCTATTGTTTATTTTAAGATTTAGCCTATTGTGATTTACTATACGCACTCTCTTGTTTTATGGTTTTACTTGATTACTGATGAAATAGACCTAAACAAATTTTAAAATTATAAATAATGTAAACTATTTTTCTTGAATTTTGTACTTTTATACTCGACATCTGTCCAATATCTTTTAATTTTATTTCTAATGCTTACTCTAATATAATCTTTTCTCCTTCATCCCTGAGGCTCCTACAGCCTATTGTGTTCCATAAAGTAACTGGTTTGGGTAAAAATTTCTCAAAAAACACAAAAAAACACAAATCTGCACCCTGTATCACCAAAATTTTTGAAACTTGGCACAAATGTTTATAGACATGCATGGCCTACTTAAATTACTTAAATTACTTAAATTACTTAATTTAAGTAGGCCATGGACATGTTAGGAAAGATAAAGGTGTAAATGTTTTTAAATTTTTTTTCTTTGGTATTTTCTTTGCCTGTTGCTTTAACAAAGAATAATATGATGAATTATCTTTTTTTACAAAAGTTTGACCAAAGAAAATTAAATTTTATTTCTCAAAAATAACGTTTTCCTCCATTTCCAGTTACACAGTCGAATGTGGTGATAACATCGTGTGTTTTTAATTTAGAATATTTGGTATTATATTGTAATTATCTGAATAGATTTTTAAGTATTTTATTAAATTATTTTTCAAACTTTAATACAAACTAAAAATAATAGGATTTAACATGTTTTTTGCTACAAAAAGGATATTTATTTCCACTTAGCTAAAATATAACCAAATTCAGGGTAACTTTAGACAATCAATATTTTCCAAAAATGCTTTTTTTGCTGTCTGAGTAACATTGCAATAATACATAATAAATATTAGGCATCTTTTTATTATAGTATTTTTATTATATAATGATATATGATATTATAAATATCAAAAATTATAATATCTATTACAAATATATTAATTTTTGATATTTATGGCTATCTTGATAGATTTAATAATATATTTTATTGATAGCAAATATGCGATTAAATAAATAATTTTCATTAATAACATAAATCATCTTTATATTTTTAGCATTCATAAAATGCCAAGGAGATGTTCGACAACTCATCCTGGCACAAGAAAATATGGCACTAAATCTAATTACACCAATTCTACACTTCAAGAAGCTTTAGCCAAAATTAAATTAGAAAAAATGTTGATTGGTGAAGCTTCTAAAATTTATAAAGTACCTAAAGCAACATTATTTTATAAGCTAAAAAGTAAACACTGTAAATCAGTAGGACGCCCTATTGCCCTTAGCATTGATGAGGAACTTTGTTTTGAAAATCACTTACTTTATTTAAGTGACAAAGGTATACCAATTGGAATTAATGATTTTAAAAGTATTGTCAAAATCTATCTGGATGATAGTGGAAAAAATATACAACAGTTTAAAGATAACCGACCAGGTTGGGAGTGGTGTAAACTTTATCTTGACAGGCATCCATCATTAAAATCTCATTGTATTTTAAGGAAACGTGCACAGATTAATTATTGTCAAATAAAATTATTTTTTCAAAATCTAGAGAAGGAATTAAATGGAGTAATGCCAGATAACATTTACAATATGGATGAAACAGGGTTTCCTGATGACCCTGGAAAAAAAAAACTTATTTTTCGTCGATCCTCTCGCCATCCAGAACTTATAAGAAACACAACAAAAACTTGTTACACTGTTGTTTTTTGTGGAAATGCTTCAGGTAAACTAATTCCACCATTTTTCATTTTTAAAGGAAAACACAGTTGGTCTGACTGGCTTTTCAATGCACCAGAAGGATCAAGAATGGCAACTTCTTGCAGTGGCTGGATGGAAATTCAAATATTTGAAGAGTGACTGTTAAATCACTTTGTTCCAAATATTATAAATAAGGAGGGTAAAAAAATTCTGATTTGCGATAATTTAAGTGCTCATATATCTTTAAAAGCCTTAAATATATGTGAAAAGCATAATATAACATTTATATGTTTGGTACCCAATTCCACACACCTTTTACAACCTTTAGATGTTGGATATTTCACGAGTTTAAAAGCTGATTGGAGGTCAGTTCTTAATCAATGGCATAAAGCATCCAGAGGAAAAAAGGTTAATAACCTGCCAAAAAATTTGTTTACGCAACTCATTAAATCTACTCTTAATGTTGGTAACCAGACAAGTTCTCTCTAAATTACCCAGTTTTACAAATATAGATATTCAACTCAATATTGGAGAATCGTTTAGGAATTATATTGATGATGTTCATCTTAATTATGAAGTAAGCAAAAAATTTAAGTTACCAATAACAGCAGGGAAAAGTGTATCAGCCACTGAAGTAGAAGCATACTATAAGAAAAAAGACAAAAAAAAAAAAGTCAAGATAATATTCGAGCAAAGAAAAGAGGAAGACCACTTGGATCAAATAATATGGTTATGAAAATAAACAAAAAACTTAATATTTTACAAAGTTCAAGCATCGTAAATGTTAATCAAGTTATTGAAGACAATGAACAAGTTTTACCTGTATCTCAAAATGATGCAGATTTTTCATTGGAGCAAATAAACAATCACTATGTACATGTTTTCCTTGATCATGATTATTTTGTAAAAGAGTTAGTTGTAACTCAAGACTAAAAGAATGAAACACTGTAATATTTAGTTTTATAGTCAATGGTGTTTATTTGTGGAGAATTATATAAAAATAATGTCTTAATTATTTTTTCTTTTATAACCTTAAAAATTATTTTGTGAAATAAAAAAACTTGTTTGTTTATTCTCGAAATATTTTATTGAAAAACTTGTTTGTTTATTCTCGAAATATTTTATTGAAAAACTTGTTTGTTTATTCTCGAAATATTTTATTAAAAAAACTTGTTTGTTTATTCTAGAAATATTTTATTGAAAAACTTGTTTGTTTATTTTCGAAATAGTTTAACTAGATTTTTTAAAAAATTAATTTAAACTAATACAAAGAAATTTAAACAACTTTTTAGATTTAAAAGATTAAAATTGACATTCAGTTTAATAGTGTTCAAAAATACCCGAAATGCGAGGGTAACTTTGAACGCCTACTTGAACATTGTTTTTTTACATAATATCTAGCAAATTTAAAAAAATGATAACAAACTAGAAAAAAAAGATCATCAGAACACCCTTTATGTAAAAATATTTGTTATCTAGTTAGTAAAACAATTTTTGTAGAGATAAACCTAGCGCAAACCGTTCAAAGTTACCCGTAATGACTGTATGTTAAAACAAGGAAATGTAGCTTATTTTAAGATCCATAAAATACACTTTATAACGCCGAGAAAAAAAGGATTGACAATCATAGCTATAAAAAAAATCTGACTGATATAAAAAAAATCTAATTTCGATTTTCTTAAAAATAAGATCAACACCTACTTTTCGAACCAATTTAGTTTTGGCCTTATATTTACTTGAGGAATTATTGATGTTTGATATAGACACAAAATTTTTTAATATTTTTTAAATTAGACACTTAATATAACCCCACCTTTTACCAATCAATCAAATTAGAAACTAAAAATTTAGTGACTTTATTATCTTTTTCATTTTCATATGATATTAATAACAAAATTTAAACGTATATAAATTTTTATATATGCTTTACATTCACATTATTTACAAGTTGGTTCACAAAACATAATATTTAAAAAAAGAATGAATAAAACATAATAGACTCATAAATATAAAAATCTCTACTTCCTTAGGAAAATAATTTTTTTTAAGTCCTCTTTGGCTAAATAGTAGTAAAGTCCTGTTTTTGTTATCGGTACTTCAACTTGTAAAATAATTGCAAATAATGTGGACATCAGGAATCCAGCATTTGCTTTCCTTTGGTGGCCATTTAAACGACCGTGCAGGACACATGAATTTTACAAGCACATCTTTTTCTTCTAAATTAATATCTTCAATGACTCCTATCCACCACCTTTGCTCATAGGAAACAGGCATAATCACCTAGTACTAGGTTTACAGTTGCTATCTGGATATTTCCAAAGTCATGAATTAAAGCAAATTCTTCATCAACACTGCATAGCTCAGTGCCTACCTAAACAAAATAGTAACATATGCAATTATTCCGTTTTACTTATCAAACATGTTTTATTAAATGCATAGATAGAAAATGCAGAGGAAATAAAATAAAATACAAATACTTTTGATAATGATTCTGCAAAAATCTAATATCTATTTGAGTTTATCAATAAAAGTTATGCATGTATTTTAAAATATGGTAAAAAGTATAATTAAAAAATAATAATTTACCTTTTGATGGCCAAGTGGTACAAACTGATTGTAACTACGTGTTCCAGGTATTGTATTAGCAGTATCCAATCGTTCTTTAAAAGCGGTTCTCACCAAAGTTAAATCTTCTGATGAAATATATATGAAATTTATGCCTTCAATGTTTTCATTGCAATATTTATACATTGTTTGTGGAGACAAAATATCATTACCCATATCTCTTTGCAAACTTGCTAGTGTTGCCAGACATTTGACTGTACCACCTATCCCATCACAAGGTTGCTTACCGTGACTAGCTGCAAAAAAGTTCCATTTAGCAGTAAAACCAAAATCTTCACAATGGAAACAAAGATTTAACATATTTTTGCAATTCTTATATTGACCTGCACACCCATCTAAAAGTATTAAATATTTTTTATTTGAGGCAAATTTGTTTTTATATCATTGCAAACAACCTCAATAATTTTATAAACCATGTTCACATTATGGATCATATCATCCGAAATAATACAATAGGATTTGTGCTTGAGAGTGCCTTCTTTTTTGAAATAAATAATCACTGGATAAAGTGTACATTGTAAATTTGTCCAATGAAAGCTTTGCACTTCATCCTGAACTACAAATTTATAGTTTTCTGAAAAATCACCCAGAAATAATGCTGTTACCTCATTCATATCTTCCTTTCTTGATCTCAGGTATAATGCTTGACTCTTTATTATGTGTCAAGTTTGACCTATCTGTTGTTGTCCCTTGATCAAATTCAATCTCATCATCATCTTCATATTCTCCAAGTATATCATAAAGTTTTTCAACCAATGCATTCATAGTTGCTGGGCATTTTTCACATTTCCTCACCATACAGTCTTTATTAGTTATATCACAGACAATATAAGGTAACAATTCTTTGTATGTCACACCAAGTGGATGTTAAAGCAGTTTCAAATTCTGATGAATAGCACAGACGCATTCAGAATGTGTTCCTGAGGCACCAACAGTAATACACCATTTAGGTCGCAAGGTGCAAAGCCTTGAAAATCCTATTTTTATTTCTGGGTTCTTGGTTTTAAATGTAACAAACAATTCCTTTAAATTACATAAGAGCAAACGTTTTTGCATTTGGACATTTTTTCTTTATGCTTACATAGTCCTTTTTACCAGGCATTATACGGCTATGTTCATTGTCTTCGTAAAAGGACTTGACCAGTTGACTGTTACATCAGGAAGAGCTTTTCCTAATTTAGGATTAGGCATGGTTAAAATACCTTTTTTTAATGTTAATTTACGTGCAGTTCGAGCTACATAGTTTGTTACATGCAATGTTTCAGATACCTTTTTTATTGACCAGTCTGTCTGTTGGAGCAAGTGTCACAAGTTGTACTTTTTTTGATGTTGATGTAGACTCTGCAATTTTGTTAGTTAACAATACCATCATGTTATCAAACAAGTTTGCTTTTTGCATATACTCATTATTAAAACTGTTCTTCAAAACTTTCTTCTGATATTAAGGGAAATGGCAACCTTTTTTTTAATGGAGGTTGTTAATGCTGTCAACTTTTACCTTCTCTGATTTTACCTGACTTGTCCAATCCTTTGACCTTAATTGGAGATACTCCGGCAGATGCAAAGTGTGTATCTACACTTTCTTTTTTATTTTGAATGGATCTTTCATTAACAATATCAAAATCTTCATCATTTTTATTTTCACTTATACTTTTTGATAAACATGTCATAACTTTACTTTAACAGGTTAGACACAGTTTTTTTCCAGGTATAAGATTTAAACCTATGGTTTCTGCTTCTAACTCAGTATGCATTGTAATCACACGTAGCTTAAAAAGAAAGTAATTGCATTACTTAACACACGATTGTTATTACTTAACACATTACTTAACACACGATTGCATTACTTAACACACGATGCTTAAAAAGAAAGTAATTGCATTACTTAAATAACATTAATTATATATATTATGTAATTATATTACTATGCAATTTGTTATATTAATAACTATGAAACATTGAACAAATCTTATTACCAAAAAAACTTATATAACTTATTAATAATGATATTATCTAATGAAATATAAATATATAAATTTTTACCTCTACACACCTTTTGGTGACTCAGAAATGGATTACAGCAACTTTTCTGATTACCCTCATATCTTACAACTAACATATCATGATGGTGTGTGCATATATTAGTAAGTTGTTCTTGTTTCAGATTTGTTTGTTTTTCAAGTAGCTTACGATCATTGCTGTCAATATCTTCAATCAGATTTCTTTCTTGAGTATATGATTGTTTATAACAAGCTCCCTAATTATTTACAAAGCAGCAATTAATTTTGTTATCGATATAAAAGTATAATGAGGAATCTCTGTCTAAACACTTAATACAAGAAATCTTAAATAATCTTAATGTCCCTAACAAGAAAAGTACACTTGAACACAAACAATATCATATCAATGTGTATTTATAAAGAACATATTGTTGAACAAGTACTTGTTCATTTAAAATATGTCTCTTAAACTAATAGCTACTTAAGTAGCTATTAGTTTAAGAGACAAATTTTAAATGCCTAACTATCTACTTATTATTGTAAATTCTCCATTAACTACTAACAAAAAGTTGTGTAAAAGTAAAAGATAACTAAATATAATTTTATTTAGTTTGTAACATAACATGGTAATGTTAATTAGACATTATTATATCATTTTATTACTTTTTTTATTGATGATAATAAATGTTTTATTACAACAAAACAATCAACAACAAAAGTTACATAATATTGTTAAATTTAATGACATGATATTATGTAATGAAAATGACATTATGTAATGAAAGTAAAAAGAAACATTTATTATTATGTACATACATATTATTATGTAATGAAAGTAAAAAGTAACAAATTTATAAAATGTTCAACTATGTTTTGTAATAACTTTGTAAATTTTTTACAAAGCTATTACAAAACAAAAATAATTGTATTTGTATTCAAAATATATTTGCAAATTTTTTTTTTTTTGCAAAATATCTTTAGAAAAATTGAAAAACTAAAACATCAATAACTCCTTGATAAAACATAAGGCTAAATAAAAATTGGTTCGCAAAGTAGATATATGTTTAATATTTAAAATAACGAAAACCAAAACTTTTTTTCATCAATCAGATTTTTTCTAGAACTATAGTTGTCAATGGCTTTTTTTATTGTCATTAACAAGTGCGTTTTGTGGATCTAAAAATAAACTATATTTTATTGTTTTGAGAGATATAAGTTTATGATTTTCAGATTCAGCAGGTTTTAAATTCCTTTGGTACCAAGTTTTAGCTTTGCAACATTACTAAAAGGGTGACATATTTCCGGCTTTATCCCCCCTCTTTTTTCAGTCAAAAAAAAACTAACTTCAAGTTGCTGTAAATCTTAAAGGGTTGAGAAATTTTTGAAA